CGCAACAATAGATAATACGAATTGTCTATAGATTGGTTGCGAGCTCTTTATTGTTCTGCTGTAGATTCTAAATTATCCTTATGCCTTTCTCTTAACTTACTGTTGGTATTGATATTCCCCTGCAGCATGTACCCCCTCCCATCTTTACTTGTTTATTTCTGTTTTATTTTCCGTTGCATATTATATAACTACACAGGTTTATTTGGTAGTCTGGTCCTAGCCTCGTCACTACTTTGCCGGGGTTAGACCAGGCACTTACCAGCACATGGGGTCGGTTGTGCTGATACTACACTCTGCACTATGTGCAGATCCCGGAGCGGCAGCTTTTGGACCGTAGCTTTGGGTGGCTGCCTTCAGTCTAGCTAGAGATCCCGAGGTAGTCCTGCAGGCGTCCGCAGGCCCGGCGTTCTCTTCTATCTTTATATGTATTCTGTTTTCATTTACTTTTGAGACAGATTGTACTTTTCTTTTCAGACATTTGTATGTAGTATTCGTAGGTAGTCCGTGATATTGTGACACTGGATTTCGGGTAGAGATGTATGTTGGTATTGTCGCACTGGATTTGGCTAAGTTATAACATTACATCTTCCGCTTGTATTCATTTATCGTTAATGTTTCACTGTTGATCGCACGTTAATTTAAATTGTTAAAAAGGGCTAAATAAATGAGTTAGTGATTCTATAATATGCGGCTTGCCTAGCTTTCACGAGTAGGCGTCATCACGGCTCTCGAGGGTGGAAAATCCGGGTCGTGACAACGAGTAGTTCCGTATGATGTATTAAGAATAGTGTGAAAAATTTGAGTTTATTCCGAGTTGATTTGATATGTTTCGGCGCGAATTTTTGGAAGTCGAAAGTTCGAAAATTCATTAAGTTTGATTTGAGGTGTGTTTCGTCGTTTCGATGTTGTTATGCATGATTTGAGGCCTCGAGTATGTCCGTGTTATGTTATGGGACTTGTTGGTATATTTGTACGGGGTCCTGAGGGGCGCGAGTGAGTTTCGGATAGGTTTGGGCTGTGTTGCGCTCGTTTTTCTTATGTTTCGACGTCGTTTCTTCAAGCATAAATGGTACCACATTAAACAGATGCGCTCCAATTTCTATTTTGATTGAAGCATTAGATCTTTATCGTAATTACGGATCCATAGCAAAAGGAATCGACAAATTTGGACATCGTATGAGGATTTTATGGTCATTTTACTAAGAATTGGGTTGTCAGATTTTTTATATTAATTAGGAAATTGTCACCGACTTCGTATTTAAAAATCTGCACTATTTTCAAATATTAAAACCAACATATCTCCATCATTATAAGGTCAAATGGAGTGATTCAAAAGCCTAACTTGACAGAAATTTCACAAGGAATCCATTGGAAGCATCAAAAGCGAGTTTCGGGATATTTGGCACACAAAAGGAGGCAGAACAGCTGGACAAAAATACTTAATATTAAAGGTTTATTCATTTGATCATATTTTGAGTTGGGAAGCTCGGATTTAGGCGATTTTATAGGCGATTTTCACCATTTGGACTGGGGCAAGTGTTTTATACTCAATTTTGGTTATATTTCATGAATTCATTTTCATTTTTGGCATTTGATTGATGATTTCAAAGTGAAATTTGGGGGTTTGTCTAAAATTTCATAAAGTGAATTTTTTGAGTTTTGAACAACGATTCGGAGTCGTATTTGAGTGAAACTAGTATGGTTGGACTCGTAATTGAATGAGTTATCAGATTTTGTAAGTTATGTCGGGTTCTGAGGCGCGACCTTTATCGATTGAGTTTGTTTCCTTTGGCATTATTTGATGAATTTGAGTTGCTTTTGGCTAGTTTTGAGTCGTTCGGAGGTCGTATGCGCGGGATGGTATTTTGAAGCATCGTTTGGCTTGCTCGGTATTGGATTTGGCTTGTTCGAGGTATTTAACACTTCTAAACTTGGTGCTGAGGGTATGAAACCCCGAATTACGTGTTATGTGCTTGGTATTGAGGTGGGGCACATGCTAGGTGATGGGTGTGTGGGCGTGCACCGTGTGAATTGTGACTCAGTTATTGTTGTGGTACTATGTAGTTACCTGTTCTTATCAGTAACCATGAAATCTCTACGTACTAGAGCTATTGAGCTGTGATCCATGTTAGAAACTATCTCTAGGCTACATGCTTATTCTGTTGGGATCCACTGAGGTCATATTGTTGTTGAATTATTTGTTTAAGTTGCAATTTCATACTCAATCATGTTCATTCATTTTATATCATATCTCAGTCTTTGTTGCTATTTGTTGACACATTATATCATCATTTTGGGTACATGATTGAGCATGATGAGTAGAAAGTGTGAAACAGTAAGATTGAGTACTCTGAGAGTGTGAGTACATGAGTTCATCCCTTAGATACATTGCATTGACATGCACACATGATATACATGCATAGAGATGCATTTTTCTCATGTTGTACGGTATCACATCATTCATGACTTTTCACATATATTGACATATAGATATAAGATGTATTTTTCTCATGCCATTTGTAAATGAAACATTTACCTGTGGAAAGCTTTTTGGAAAAAATTACAGTTTTTAAACTTACTCATATTTTCGGCGATTTCGGTAAAAGATTTGAATTTTCACTGATATATATTTTCTAGAAGTGTGAAAGAGCTGGGCATTTTATCTCCGAGTTATTTCTTTTGTTACTTTCATTATGTTGTTGGCTATTGGTGTTGGACTCTGACCCTTGTCACAGCTCGTCACTACTTTCAACCTAAGATTAGGTTTGTTACTTATTGAGTACATGGGGTCGGTTGTACTCATACTACACTTCTGCACCTTGCGTGTAGATGTTGGATGATGATGTTGCTGTGATCAATGGGAGCTGGAATTGGAGTACCTGCGTGCCGGTTGTAGCTGCCTCTTGTTCATGGTAGCCTTAAATCTATAAAAATTTGTTTATGTATATTTCGAACAGATGAAGTATTTATTTCATACCACCTTTTAATTAAATTCTAATCTTAGAAGCTCGTCATTTATAATACCAGTCCTTGGAGAATGTATCAGATTCAGATATTTTCTTTTATTTAATTGTCTTATTAACTTCATTGGAATTGGATAGTTGTTAACTGGATTACCTAGCGAGTTGGGTTAGGTACCGTCACGATTAGTTGGATTTTGGATCGTGACAATTCCTACCCTGCAATCAAAGTAATAGCGGCTGTAGCATCCACCGGTAAAGTATGGAAGAGGATAAAATTTCTCTGTGGATAGGGCATATCAACACCTCTTGCAAAACTCTAATTAAGATTGAAGCGATTTCATTCATTCTATCACAATTCTTTGGTGATAGGATCTCAATATTGAACACGATGTAATACCTAATAGACTAATACTTAAACTGATATACATACAGATATTAATTTGCACTGAAAAAAGACAACACCTTGCATGTGCTATGGCCTATGGCTGGATTTTCTTTCTCTCTCAAGTTATTATCAATCTATTATTGACCACAATTTTCATCTTTATCTATCTAGTAATTAATGCTAGTACACCTCCACAAAAGTGGTCTAAATCAGAAGTCCACATTAGCAAAATAATATAACTACTTTACGTACATGAACAATTTGATCATATCATTGCTGATATAGTTGTGGCCCCATGAGAAAAAGATTCACACAGTATTTTTTAGATATAAGGTTTTACTATTTATACAGAGGTATAACCACTATATATATATACATATATATTCATTGCTGATATAGTTGTGGCCACTATTTATGCATAGGTATAACCACTTTTTATATATATATATATATATATATTCGATTATTATTTTGAAAGATTGTATACAGTGTTATTTATTATTATTATTATTATTATTATTATTATTATTATTATTAACCCGCGCCAATAACTATTTTTATTGATTTGATGTTTTGCTTAAGTAAACGTCGAAAGTTAATACTGAACTTCGTATTAGGAGAATGAGGTTGACTTACTAAATAAAATACTCGCAATAAAATCATATAGTCAGAGGCGGATTCAAAATTTTGGGCAGATGTGTATATTATTACGAAGATATGGATCCAGGATATAAATTTTAGGGGTTCAACCTTTAGTTTTTACTTTCACATTATTATCAGTTCAAAAGTTAAATTTTTTTTTAAAAGTAGTAATTTTCTTACATTTATATCTACACTCAATGATGAAAATATTAGGATCAATTGGATTCATTGACTATCTGCTACATCATCCACTGCTGCTAGTTTTAATATACACAATTCGTTTAATCATATAAGATTTTTCGGCAATAAAAGAAAAATAAGAATTACAATGTGTGAAATTTTGAAAGAATAAAGCAAACAAAGAAAGATAAATAAAAAGTGCTGACTTAATATGAAAAAAGTGACATCAGACATTCCCATCCCCGTGGGCGCCTAGCTCTAGAAAAAAATGAGAGTAAAAAACAACAAGATTTTATAAGATTTGAACTCATAATTAATCTCACTTAGAGAGGCGCACTCAATTATAACCATGTCGTCATATTTTACTTTGAGCTTGGGTACATATGCATATTGCTATGCATGATCTAGGGAGAAGAGCATGGGTTCACGCAGGAAGATCCAGGATTTAAATTTTATAAGTTCAACTCTTAAGGGTTTTAGCATTGAACATATTATATTTTTAAAATTATGGAATCGTGTCTACTATTTTATAATTTTAATAAATTTTTGCATATAAATTTTTACTCCGCATAAAAAATTATGAATAACACACTACATTCGTCGTTGGGTTCACATGCCCCCATTAAAAACCCCTAGATACGTCTAGCCAAGATTAACAAGAAGTTATAATGATATTTCATGCAATCATTTGCATGAGTTAATTAATTTGTATTTTTACCTTATTTATTATTTAATCATAGTAAAGCTTATTTATTATTTAATCATAGTAAAGTATATCAATTTATGATAAACATCAGATGCAAATAAATTTAACGCGGTAAAAATCGGTAAACCTAAATTATAAAACTTAAAATTGAAAATATTTCCACTAAAGCAGAGCTTCATATATCCTAAAAACTGTACATAACTCTTGTTTGAAATAATAATCACTATATTGAAATTACTTTTACTTGCAGCCTTGTAATTTTGTGAAAGTTAAAAAAATATAAATAAAAAATAAAAAATTGAAAACTACCTCTGTACAAACTTCGACTGCCGGAAAACCTTCATCGGACTTAGCAAATACCATCCTTTCAACTTCCCCGGCGACATGACATCATTTCCACCGGGGACTGACGTCAAATCTACATTCGCCGATCTCGATCTTATCATCATCATCCTCGATAATTCCTTAATCCCCGTAGTATTATAGTAGTACTTATTTTCAGCAGTACTTTTTTCTTTCAATTCAAATTCGTTCTCTTTCCCCTCCGCTTCTCGAGTTCTTTTCCTGGACTTAAAAATCCACCAAAACGACGCTGTTTTAGTACTCTTCTCACTCGCCGGCGGGTTTCTCCGGTCGCTGGTATTACTATCTCGCGATTTAACGAATGGAATTCCGACGGATTTTGATCTACACAACGCCGGCTCGCTGTCGCATCCTACGCCGGCGCCGCTGCTTCTGCATGAACAAGGGCGCACGTTAGCGCAGTGAGGGCAAAGTTTGGAAAGTCGATTGCGTAGGCAAATTGAACATACGCCAGGTCTGCGTTTCTTCGAAGGGTGTTTTGGACATTTCCAGACTTCTTCTTCAATATAGTACGCCATTAATTTTCTAGTCTCTCCTCTTGTTGTATGTTGCTCTGTATATATATAATTTTTCAATCTGAGCTTTATATATATATATATATATATAGCCAAATTAAGAAATGTAAGAAACTAAACGCGGATAAGAAATAATAAAACGACGCGTTTTACTTTCTAAACTTGCAATGCTTAATGTATGCTTAGCCGTCTCATCTTTCTATAAAGACTTGTGCTACAATTATAATTTAAACATGTTCAAATATATTAGGTAAAAAAAATTTAAGTGATTTTCTTTCTCCATTTGGCTAAGTCTTGGGTAGAATTAATTAACATTTGTGTTGGTGGGAGGTAGTACACACGTAACTTGTGGTTTAAAACATATCACACACGTAGCTGTGGTTGTAAAATCTTGTTATTAAGAGTGAAATTAAAAATATAAAGTAAAATTAATTTTAAATATAAAAATATATTATTCCTTTTTAGGCAAATTGAAAAGAAAATGTATCGTATAAAATGTGTAAGAAAAAGTACATTTTATTGAGTATCTGATTCTTCTCAAGATTAATGTAGGTGTCAAGTAACTCTTTTTATTAAGGCTTAAGTAATTAAAAGAAATTACCTAATTTATTTTTCTCATTTAAACATTGTTCTCTCATAATTTTTGTTCGAATTAACATCATGGACTTAGAGCACACCCTCGAGTCGAGTGCTCTCTCTTTAAGTTTTATGTAATAACGGAATAAATAGAATCTATTTACATAAAAGTAAATTACAAGAAAATATCTACACTAAAAAGAGAATTGATAACTCGAGCAAAAGTGCGTAATTTACAGTCAATTTACACTTAAATTTTATACATATTTTTCATTGTAAGTGCATAAAATTGGAAATTCAAAATAATATGGATACATATGTTGAGAAAAAGATATCAATGGAGGAAAAGAAGATGTCAATAGCGGCTATTCACTCTCACAAGGAAGAAGAGAATGAGAGACAGAACACTTTAGGTTTAAGGACATTAAACTATGTTTCGGACATCTCTAGGACAAAGTCTAATTCAGTTTCAATATTGACACATGGATTAATCTTGTCCCTTGATCAAGTTTATGATGGATTAAATAAGGACCGTCCAGATGAGGAAATGTACAGCTGCACAACTTTGGATTCCACACTAAATCTCCACACATGTGAACCGTGTAAATAGATAGAGAAGAATATTATTCTGTTAGTTGGTTTCTACATGGCAAATAAGGAGTGGACAGCTGTATAGTTAGTTTTCTGGTTTTCTTATTTTTCCTTTTTCTTTCTTTACACAAATACTTGTATAAATACACATGTTACTACAGATAATAAAACACAGAAAATTTCACAAAAAATCTATTCTCATATTCATAATCTTTCATGGTATCAGAGCATAGCTCGTTTCTGGATTAATCTTCATTCTTCTTCAATTTTCTGTTCGTCACAGTTTCACTCACTATGGGTGATACAACAGAAGTAACTCTCACTCAAACTGCTTCCAGTAATGGAGCTAACTTCGATCGAAATCACCCTTATTTCTTGCATTCATCAGATGCTCCAGGAATGAACTTGGTGAATGCAGCCTTTGATGGAAAAGGTTTTCAAGGTTGGAAAAGGTCTGTTCTGATTTCCCTTTCAGCAAAGAACAAACTGGGTTTTATTGATGGAACCTGTGCTGCTCCTGCCATCACAGCCAAGGAATACCAGCCATGGACCAGGTGCAACGATATGGTCACTTCTTGGTTGTTGAATTCACTCTCCAAAGACATTGGAGACAGTGTTATCTGCTCCAAATCTGCAAGAGAACTTTGGATCAGTCTAGAGCACAGATTTGGAAAATCAAATGGAGCAAAATTGTATCACTTGCATAAGGAACTATCTTCTCTAGTTCAAGGAACAAATGACATAGCAAGTTATTTCACAAAACTCAAACGTTTATGGGATGAGCTGGATTCTCTACTTTGTGATGTGAAATGTCTTTGTGTTTGTGTATGTTCAGGGAAACAAAAGCTTGAAAAATCTTTGGAAGATGAGAGACTTATACAGTTTCTCATGGGTTTGAATGATGTTTATAGTCAAGCTAGCGGAAACATTTTAATGTTGAATCCTTTACCTAGTATAGATCATGCTTACTCTCTAGTACTACAGGATGAGAGTCAGAGAGAAGTCTACACGAATCCTCTCATTTCTTCTGACTCTTCATCCTTCATGGTGGGAAATCAGGCAAGCTATGCACTAAGAAATAACAAGCAAATGCAAAGGTACACAGGGCAGAATCAGCAGTCTCAAAAGGCAGGAAACCCCATGCAATTCCAGAAACCAGGAAGCAATATGCAGAAATTTGCAAACCAGTCACAAAGAAACACAACCTCAAAACCAAAGAGACAAAGGTTCAACCCTAATGTATCTTGCACTCATTGCAAAAAGATAGGACACACAGTTGCAGATTGTTACAGGATTATTAGATTTCCTGAGGACTTTGAATTCACAAATGCCAAAGGAAATCAAAATCAGATTAGGGGCAATAGGGTGCTTACAGGAGATCAATCAGATTATGCAACAGGCAGTTATAATGAAGTCCTGAATCATCACCTCTCTAAGGATCAGTTCTCACAACTGATTCAGATGATCAAACAAGTAAAAGTTTCAGATGGAGGCAACAGTTCAGAGATAAATGCAAGTGCAGTAGCTGGTACTATTCACAAATATGCTGGAAGTTGTTTTTCTGTTTTCAATACTAATGTTTGGATAATTGATTCAGGGGCTTCAGAACATATGTGTTTTGATTCAAATGTTTTTATCTCTTTAGATCCTCTTCCTACACCTTTACACATAAATCTGCCTAATTCATTTAAAGTCACAGTTACACATACAGGGGAAGTGCCTATCTCTCCCAATTCATTCTAGAGAAGGTCCTTCATGTGCCTAGTTTCAAATATAATCTATTATCAGTCAATAGATTTTCTGTTCAGTTTCAATGCATAGTCTTATTCACTCCTACTCAATGTCTATTGCAGGCCCCTTTAATGAAGAGGCCTCAAGTTTTTGGTGATACACATGAAGGACTCTACCTGTTGAAGCCTAGTCTTAAGGAGAAAACTGTTTCACCTTCTTTTCCCAATGTTTTCAATCAAATTTCAGTTATCTTTCCATTTTCTGCTAATGTGGTTACAGATGTAAACCTTTGGCATGTTAGATTAGGGCATATGCCTTTTTCATCAATGAAGAATCTTAGTTTTGTTTCATTGCCTTCCCATTCTGATTGCTTATGTGATATTTGTCCTAAAGCTAGGCAAACTAGGATTCCTTTTTCTTTGAGTCAAATCAAATCCAAAAGAGCATTTGAATTAATTCACGTGGATACATGGGGCCCTTATAAGGAACCTACCTATAATGGTTTTAAGTATTTTTTTAACCATTGTGGATGATTTTAGCATGGGGGCTTGGACATTCTTGTTAACCACTATGAGTAATGCTTTCACAGTCTTAAAGAATTTTTTAACAATGGTTGAGAGACAATTTGTTGTCAAGGTACAGAAATTGCGAACAGATAATGCATTTGAATTAGGCAAAGGCTCACAACAAGCAGCCTTTCTCAGTTCTAAAGGGATAATACACCAGACTACTTGTGTCTCAACACCTCAACAGAATGGCATCGTTGAGAGAAAACATAGACACTTGTTGGAAATAGCAAGGGCTTTACTTTTTCAATCACAGGTACCTATCAGCTATTGGGGGGAGTGTTTACTAACTGCAACACACCTAATAAACAGGCTGCCTTCCAAGGTTCTTTAAGGAAAAATACCATACTCTATTCTGTTCAATAAATCCCTTTCCTATGATTCCTTAAGGTCTTTTGGATGTCTTTGTTATGTTTCTACCTTGCCTAGTGGTAGAAACAAATTTGAACCTAGGGCAAAGAGTTGTGTCTTTCTGGGATATCCTTTAGGTCAAAAGGGGTATAAAGTGTTGGACTTAGATACTAAAAGAATTTTTGTGTCTAGAGATGTTCATTTTCATGAAAACATCTATCCTTTTGCTTCAACTTCCTCACCTCAATCTGATATTTCCATCCCAGATCAGATTTTCCCTACCCCTTCTCCTGTAGACACAACCACCAATGATCTTTCCCCACCCTCTTCCTTCCCCTTTCCTCACTCTTCTGAACCTCCTCTACCTTTATCACCTAGTCCCACCAGCCTTCACTCACCTCAACCCTCTTCCTTCCCATCCCCTCACTCTTATGATTCTTCTTCTCCCACAAATACTGTTTTGCCTAGAACACCCACTCCTACACCAGTTATCAGGAAATCTACTAGAGTTACTAAATGGCCCTCTCACCTACAAGATTTTGTTTGCTCTAATGTCTATTTCACTGATCTCACATCCTCCTGTTTCATTCAACCTTGTAAGCCTAATATTTTTAGCTTTGGTGCACTCTCTGCTCATAACAAACAGATAATACACTCTCTTTCAGAGATTTCAGAACCAAGCAGCTTTTCTCAAGCTTCTACCCATCCAGGATGGATGCAAGCAATGCAATCAGAAGTTGAAGCCTTGGAAGCTAATCACACATGGGATGTAGTTCTTTTACCACAAGGGAAGAAAGCCTTACCCTGTAAATGGGTCTACAAGGTCAAGCATAACTCAGATGGGATTGTTGAAAGACTCAAAGCACGCTTGGTAGTGAGGGGGGATATTCAAAGGGAAGGAATTGACTACACGGAGACCTTTTCTCCTGTAGCCAAGATGACTACAATACGATGCTTAATGGTCATTGCTGTAAAGAAGAATTGGCCTATTTCTCAATTGGATGTAAGCAATGCCTTTTTACATGGTGATTTACAAGACGAGGTCTTTATGAAATTTCCAGCAGGTATACCCTCCCCCAGTCCCAATCATGTTTGTTTACTTCGGAAGTCACTTTATGGTTTGAAGCAAGCTTCCCGGCAATGGTATGCTCGGCTTGCTGGTGCACTAAGTTTTAACGGATAATCTTCATCTTTAAACGATTATTCCTTATTTTTCAAGAAGACAAACAATAGGATTTCTATAGTGGCTGTTTATGTTGACGACATTCTTATCAGTGGGGATGATTTGGCAGAAATGACCTCACTCAAAGCTTTTCTTCACAAAGAATTCAAGTCAAAGATTTAGGTGACCTTCATTATTTCTTGGGTATGGAAATACTTCGCGAAAAACAGGGGATAATAGTTTGTCAAAGGAAATATACCTTAGATTTGCTAAAGGAGTTTGATGTTTCTGGTCTTTCTTCTGTCTCCTCTCCACTCGAACCTTCTTCTAAGCTCCGTGCTGATGAAGGTCCTTTGCTTCTTGATCCCACAATCTATCGGCATCTTGTAGGGAAATTGAACTACTTAACCCATACAAGACCCGATTTGCCCTTTGCTGTGCTAAAATTGAGTCAATACATGCATCAGCCAAGATGCTCGCATTTCTCTGCTGCTCTTCGTGTTCTCCGTTATTTGAGTTTGGATCCAGGCCAAGGTATTCTCTTGAATTCAGATCCATCTCTTTCTCTTCTGGCCTTCTGTGATTCCGACTGGGCTTCATGCCCTGACAGTCGCCGGTCAGTGAGCGGCTTTTACATCAGTCTTGGTGGCTCCCCCATCTCTTGGAAGTCTAAGAAACAGGTCTCAGTTTCTCTATCATCCGCTGAAGCGGAATATCGTTCCATGCGTCGAGTCGTGGCAGAACTCTCTTGGCTCACTCGTCTTCTTTCCGATATCTCTGCTACTCCATCTCTGCCGGTGCCTGTCTTCTCCGATAGTAAAGCAGCGATTCACATAGCCCGGAACCCCGTCTTCCACGAGCGTACAAAACATGTGGAATTGGACTGCCACTTTGTCCGGCAGCAATTCCTCTCCGGTTTAATCTCCCTCTCCTTTGTCCCTTCATCTTCTCAGCTGGCAGATATGTTCACCAAACCTCTTTCAGGGCCTTCGCACAAAGCTATTCTGGGCAAGTTGGGTGTTATTTCCTTACCCTCCAACTTGAGGGGGGATGTTGAGAAGAAGATATCAATGGAGGAAAAGAAGATGTCAATGGCGGCTATTCACTCTCACAAGGAAGAAGAGAATGAGAGACAGAACACTTTAGGTTTAAGGACATTAGACTATGTTTCGGACATCTCTAGGACAAAGTCTAATTCAGCTTCAACATTGACACATGGATTAATCTTGTCCCTTGATCAAGTTTATGATGGATTAAATAAGGACCGTCCAGATGAGGAAATGTACAGCTGCACAACTTTGGATTCCACACTAAATCTCCACACATGTGAACCATGTAAATAGATAGAGAAGAATATTATTCTGTTAGTTGGTTTCTACATAGCAAATAAGGAGTGGACAGCTGTATAGTTAGTTTTCTGGTTTTCTTATTTTTCCTTTTTCTTTCTTTACACAAATACTTGTATAAATACACATGTTACTACAGATAATAAAACACAAAAAATTTCACAAAAAATCTATTCTCATATTCATAATCTTTCAACATAGACCAAAAGTAAAGATAAATAGGGGAATGCCATATATATCAAATTAATGGCAGGAACAGTATAGTCATGATTTCTAACCTACAAGAATTGATTTGTCGAAAGTGATAACAAAGTCTGGGGCCTACAAAAAAAAATCTATTTTAGATTTTGTGGTACTAATTGGAAAAAGAAAGGAGTGGCGTCTGCATTCTTATTTGACCTTACCAATTTTAGGTTAAGAACTTAAAGATGTTTACATAATTATTATTAAAACCCAAGGCTTCGATATTTTTTTATAATTTTTGTTTGGAAAATAATTAATTATAATATTAGGTATAACTGTAACTGAAATTGGCACGTTTTAAGCTTACATCCAAATTCCAATGCAAAGCCCGTTACGAACAAGTCAACCTTCATAATGGCGACCACCAAGAATTGTGGTAAAATGGTAAATACTGTTTCATCTTTAACCAGAGGTTTAGGGTTCGAGCTATGGGCATGAAGTCGACTTTATTAGGGAGCACTATATCCCCAATGTTAGACTTTCCGACACGAATTTAGTCGGGCTCCAATAAGAAAGCCAATAAGGGTATTGGACATCCGAATGAGAAACAAAAAAAATCTTCATAATGGCGTATGCATGATTCTTAACAAGCGATATTGACTTTTACAGAAATACACAAATAAATAAATTATATTACTAATAAAAATAATACAAATACACTAGTTAATCATATTATTGCGTATATATTGAAATTTCCTTGTTTTTAAGCATACCATAGCGTATATAGTTAAGAAATTGTTTGACACTGTTTGTATCAATGTGCCTCACCCTGTAGTACCTTAGCCTAGCCTGGAGACGCTAACAAAAGAAGAAAGTATACCTCTTTTGTCTAGATAACTGCTTATAAATTATTAAAATGGTAAGTAATGTTCGAAAGCAGTGTTCCTAATCAAGTAATTAAGAGATCTCCTTATTAGTAGGAATTTAGGAAAAATGCATAAGTATCCTCTGACCAATACTTGAATTTCCAACTACACACTCTACCTTTTCGGGGATTTTATTATTTTCC